GTGGCCATTAATTAAATTACTTATAAATTTATTTTCCAACGATAACGGAAAAATATTGGTGAAGTTTTTGAATTACAAAGTTTGATGTTATTAGTGTTTCTGTGATGTATGTTGACTGGTGTTTTTCCAAATGGTTTTTCTTGGTAAATCGTGTGGATATACCTATGTACATACATATAAACATGTCTTCTGATTTTACAGAAGACAAATAAGGGTATAACTTCCTATACACAATTTTTTGTCATTAGTGTTATCATTTTACACCTAATTTTAAGTCGTTATAGGAAGACGTCTGTGGTGATGCTGAGATATTTTAAGAATATTTATTTATTTTTATTTATTTAATATGCTTTATGCACAAAATGTACAAATAGGTGGACTTAATGCCGCAGGCATTTTCTACCAGTCTGACCTTTGGGTGATGCAGAGAAGAGTAAATGGTAGGTGCAAGAGGCAAGCAGTGATTTTATTTAACAATGAAAGATAAACTAATATATTTCAGAGATATACATACATAAATAAATGTAATTATAATATATACCTACACATGAGTACAATAATGTAAGAATATGTTGTAGTGACATGACACCTTTTTTTCTTTACCATTCACGGTACCACAGGGTCCCAGTCATTTGGGAGGCGTACGAGGAGCCGAAGCCAACTGCGCAGAGGGCCTTTAGACAACTTTAATGTAAATGTAATGGACACACAAACTTATTGTTATGAATTCTGACGTTACGTTTTTTCCATGAGTTAGTCACTCACATAACATAAAATAACATCACGCCTTTTCATCCCCGAAGGGGTGAAGGGGTAGGCAGAGGTGCACATTACGGTACTTAATGCCACTGTACAATGTAACACCCACTTTTTACTATGTATGTTATGAGTCCCATGTAATAGAGGGTAAGTCTATTGACATATATCCGGCACATTTCCAGACTCCGTGCTACTACTGAGATTTTTAAAAACCCTGTAATACTTTGTCCTACACGGGAATCGAACCCGAGACCCCTTGCCCGGCAGTCGCACTTGCGACCACTCGGCCAACGAGGCAGTCACTCGTTGACCCAGAAAACAATTATTTATTTTTCAACTAAACTTTAATGTACACAGAAACAAGTAATGGTACATAAGGCGGACATTAATGCCATATGGCATTCTCTCCCAGTCAACCTTAGGGTTAAATAGGAAATCGGTAAAAATAGGCATGTGTAAACAAATAACATAAATTATAAACATGATAATGTTATGCTAAGCAGAAATCAGTCTACCAATCCCTTATTCTCAAATGAATAACACAACTCTAATATTAACCTAGTACGCATTTACTTCCAACCTAACTATAAGTATGTTGTCACGGAGAACCTAACGGGTAACCGGGGCTCCGGCTCGACGTGCAGGAGAAGGAACGGGGTGGTTTTTAGTCAGTAAGAGTCTGACACTCCCTTCCGCCTCACCCAGGCGGGAGAAGTCATTCGATGATATTCCCCCCTTAAAAAAAAAACTATAAGTATGTCAGTTCCAGAGACATCTCAAAAACATACGTCACATATCCATTACACTATTTGCTAGTAGGTAGCCTATAAACTATTTATAGCATCACCCCGATACAGAACGACTAGGCATTAATTAAAACGACAAAACAAAATAACAGTCGACTTCAGTTGCAGTCAGAATTCACACTATTCCAATGGGAGAATTAATTAAATACTGCCTCTAGTTACGGGGGTAGGAGACTGGATGTGACATTTACGTGAAAAATTTTCTATTCAAAAAATAAATACTAATAGAATATTTTTGATCATTATACTCAGCAATCATGATAAACTTGCCAAAACTACCCCATACGATAACACATAACATAACATTTGCACCAACTATAACGATAACATAGTGTCTAGACGAGAAACTGTGTCTAGTGTGTCATGATCATTTTAGATCTCATTCTCGTTCAATACAAGACAAACGATTGAGTTTACCTAATTTTTCAATAACTCCATTTAAAAGCACAAGAGAAAACGGCAAGTGCGACTGCCGGCTATGGGTCTCGGGTTCGATTCCCGGGTCGGGCAAAGTATTACTGGGTTTTTTAAGAAAATTCAGTAATAGCACGGAGTCTGGAATTGTGCCCGGTATATGGCAATAGGCTCACCCTTTATTACATGAAACTTATAACATAAATAGTGAAAAGTGGGTGTTACATTGTACAGTGGCATTAAGTGCCGTAATGCGCACCTTTGCCTACCCCTTCGGGGATAAAAGGCGTGATGTTATGTTACTAATATAAAAGTCATTTGAAATAAAAATACAATCATATTTCATTAATTTTAATTTTCTAAAGCTATTTTACAAGGGCAGGCCACATCCAGTGTGGGCCAGTCCACGGCCTACCCCGGTAGACAGTGGGGCCATAAATTGAGGTGTGCTGTCAATTGCACCCGTCCGCCAATAGTTGCGGTTCGACGCCGGCCCGTGCATATGCGGTGGCGGTACAAATTTTACATGACATTTGTACCTTTTTTTGTTTCATTTTTCGTTTTTGTTTCAAATATATTGCGAATTATTGTTTTGTCTTTTTAGGTCGAATTAGTTATTGTACCTAAATTAGCTATGAACCGCTTATTGAAAGTAAAGAAAATATTTGTAAATAAATTCTGAAAAATACTTAAAAATATAAATTCTTTTCTAAACAAAAATAACAATAACATAAATAATAAGGTTGTTTTAACCTTCACTTGTTTTAAAAATAATAGAAAAAAAAACATTACAATAATTACCGCCTCCAAATTACTATTAACAAAAAGTAATTCTATTGCAAAAAAAACATCACAATAATAAAAAATTATTACCTAATCATTACCATGCTATACGATCCATTATTTCGCTCCCCACTCTCAACGCCTCGGTAGCGCAGTAGGCAGCGCGTAAGTCTCATAATCTTAAGGTCGTGAGTTCGATCCTCACCCGGGGCAAATCTTTTTGTAATTTTATTCTTTCTTTTATCAATTTTTTTCGACTTATTGAGTGTTAAAAATGTTATTTCTGTTATAAAAACTAGATAAATTGTTTTTTTTTGTTTTTTTTCCTAGTAAATTGCAACTGTATGATGTCCGCAAAATATAAAAATGTATGTTTATTTATATAAATAAATCGATGCAAATATTTGATTAATTACATTGAAACTTAAAAAAGATATACTTATATAATTTTATTGTAATTTACAATGCAGATAACCAAGATATATTCCGAAATATCAAGACCTATTTCGAAAAACTCCAAGTACTAAATTTTGTTACCACGCCACAATTGACATAGGTCCAAAATAAAACGATATTGGACATAAACACATAAAAATACAATAAAAAATTAAAGCGAAAAATATCCTTGAACCATGGCATCGTTCCCATAGAAACGATGGCGACATCAATCGAATTATTTAGCTCTAAATCAATTGTTATGAGTCAGTATCTAAACACGATATAATTGGTGTGTGAACGGACATTTTATTTCTGACCCACTTTAGAATTTGTTGGTAGCATCGGCTCTTTTATTTATATAAAAATACTAGCTACTTCCCCGTGGTTTCACCCGCTCTGTTTGGCTCCTGTTGATCGTAGCGTGATGTTTTATAGCCTATAGCCTTTCTGGATAAATGGACTATCCAACATAAAAATAATTATTCAATTCGAATCAGTAGTTTCGGAGATTAGCATTATTAAAAAAACAAACTCTTCAGCTTTACCTTATAATATTAGTATAGATAATAGGTAGGTACTAACTAGTATAGTTAATCGTGGTTTTTGTTCTAGCTAAAAAAAATTAACTGATTACAATTAAAAGCAATTATAATGTGATTTGACCTTCAAACCTTCAAGAAAAGAGCGTATTCCTTTTTAAAAGGCCAGCAACGCACCTGTGACTTCTCTGGTGTTGTGGGCGTCCATGGGCGGCGCTGATCGCTAACCATCAGGTGATCCTTCAACTCGTTTGCCTCCTATTCCATAAAAACTAGGATAAATTTACCACTTACACTAGGAAGCAAAAAACCGTAGTCATAAGCATTTTTTTAAATCTTATCAAACCCTATATAACTTTAAATAAATTTATAGGTACCTTCTATATGACATATGTTACCAGCTAATTAAATATTTATACCTATCAGAAAATATTCATCAACAAATAAAAAAGTAAAGCGAGCTGACTGAGCGAAGAATATTATATCCTTTAACTAATTTAACTACAATGTAAAGTGTAATAAAATAAATAAATCTAAATAAGACGAGTAATTAAGTTTGTTTATGTGTTACTTATACCAAAGTGTACGTAAGTACATGCACATTGCATAATCCTAAAGCGTAGATTAGCTAATTAGTATTAAAATAATTTCAGGCGCTTTAAACACAATGAAATTTAAGTTAAGCAATAGCACTGCACTGAATGACACCTTTAACTCCGTTCAATATAGTAAGATTTTGGCAACAGCATAAAAGGCGATTACATCACTCACCTTCGGTTTGCTGACGATATTGTATTCATTATCGACAGGAAGACCTCGAACATTGCTGGATGATCTATGTCCAATTTCTCTACAGGTCAAGCTCAGTTTGGAGATTAAGTTGCCTATATTGGTCCTAATTTAAGTGTCTCAAAACCTTAATTTTTACCTATCCTACAAAGCAAGCAATAGGAAGCACTATTAAGTCTTTTATCACTGTTCAAGTGTATAACAGCTTTTTTTATAAAATAGATGATCCAAAAACTTAGCGTCTTGCTAGTGGTAATCACCAATCACCCTCATTTCTTTCAAAATTCATTGTTATACATTCTTCGCAAGACATTTGCGGCACCATCGTCCTAAATTCCACACCAAATGACTGGTAATGATAGTTCACAAATCAGAGTAAGTAGTCACAATGGTAGCAATCGATTCATTGAGTAACGTCCATGCGATCACCGCTATATTTAGCGATGGCCGATACCTCTCTGATGGTAGATGGTCAACTGAATCTAATAATAGAAAATGCATCAGTGACACGAAGTAGCCGCGTGGTGGTTTTATTGATAGTGGGCTGGAAGGTCTGTTCTTGAGTCGGGAATGTTTTATTTGGGAATATTCCTTGTTTTGCTGAAATTGGCAGACATGTTGGTTAAAGTTAAAGTGGTATTTAAACAAAGCATCACATGACTTGGGAGTTTGTTATAATAGCCCGTGCTAGGCAGAAGGTGTATGGATCGCAGCTACATCACTAAGAATTGAGGATGTTACAGGCTGCCGCTCCTGACTGATCACAGTTCAAGATTAAGAAAGTTTTTACCTGAAAAATATTTAAGCAATACCACTGCAGGTTAATTTCATACTAGCTGACCCGGCAAACTTCGTAAAATACTCTAGTTACTAAATAAGTTACTAAATACTAAATAGATATGAACAGTCACAGTGTCACATATCATTATTTTACTGGTCTCTTTACCCCATCCCAGATCACTCGAAGCGCATTCTTGTAGAATTAGATGATCCCATCACAGTCTTACAACCATCTCTTGTTCCTTACCATATTACCTTTCACTTGATAAAACAAGACTGAATACATACTCACATGTCGCGGAGAACCTAACGGGTAACCGGGGCTCCAGCTCGACGTGCAGGAGAAGGAACGGGGTGGTTTTTAGTCAGTAAGAGTCTGACACTATCTCCCGCCTCACCCAGGCGGGAGCAGTCATTCGATGATTTTCCCCCCTTAAAAAAAATACATACTCACATCCCGATTGTCCCAAATAAAATTGATCCTAACTAAGAACAGACCGTTTGAAATCGATAGCGATCAACATTACAGTAGTTAGTTCAATGAAGACACGCATCAAATCATAACTAAGTTGTGCACAATTAACAAATAGCACATTTCTCATCGACCAATCATGTGATACGGTCACGGGATTTTATCAATTAATCTATTAGTTGTATTTTAAGATGGTCGTTGCCCATCCAACTGCTGATTGATTCTTGGGATGGGAAGTTATTGTTTGATAAAAACGAGGTCATACGATTTTTGGAAGCCCTATCTGAGAACAAGTCACTAGACAGGTTGGCCAAGTAATCCCCTACTTTATGCTTGTTGACATTCATCAGCCGAAAGCCCATACAAAAGTTTGTATACCAATTGGCCGAATGGTCGCAAGTGCGACTGCCGGGCAAGGAGTCTCGGTTTTGATTCTAGGATCAGGCAAACTATTACTGGGTTTTTAAAATAATTCTCAGTAGTAGAACGGAGTCTGGAATTGTGCCCGGTATACGGCTAGGCTCACCCCCTATTACATGGGACTCTTAACATAAATAGTGAAAAGAATATGTTACATTGTACAGTGGCATAATGTGCACCTCTGCCTATCTCTTCGAGGATGGGTGATATTATGTTATGTTTAAGTTGAACTTCTATGTACCATTTTAAAACGAGATATGACATGATCACCACGAACACTCAACATTCCGAAACCTAATTAGCGACGTGACGTCACACGAAACATACCAGGACAAAAACTGCGCTTTTCCATTTCTTAATTTCCGTTGAAATCTAATTAATAAACGGAAAAGGAAAACTCGCTTCGAAAGATAACCGGAGCATTGAACCTACGACCCGGACGGTATCGCCGCGGGTCATAAATTAAGAAAAAAATGTTCGTTATCTGCAGATTTTTTCTCCTTAATACGAGGACAATAAATGACGTTGCTTTAGGGATTTTACTATCAAGTTTTAAACTCCATTAAAGATTACATCGAAATCATAACCCTCCTTTTTAGTATACCCGGGTAAAAATGGATGCTCTTTATTAAAGAAGCTTGTCACTCAGAACTAAATAATTGTGATATCATTTTAGAAAATTTGTACTAGATCTTATTGTAGTTCACAATAAGACTTATTTTTCATTTTCGTTAGTTTCCTAAACACATGTAACCAAAGATTTATAATCTATACTAATATTTTATAGAGGAAAGATTTGTAACTATTTTTGTATGTTTGTAATGAATAGGCTCAAAAAGTACTGGGCCGATTTAAAAAATTCTTTCACCAATAGAATGCTACATTCTTCCAATCAGACACAGGCTACATTTCACATTGAAAAAAATAGGGATCCTTGGTAAAATTTGAACAATGTAACCGAAGGTGTATAAAAATGAGTTTTAAAATGTCTTTCGTCGAATGCGCTGCTGAAACTACATATTAGCGATAGAACAAAATAATGTACAACAATATTGAAGAACATCATAATGTCTACAAAAAACTTCGCGATGCATATGTCCAACTATTGTAGTTATGTAATTACAACAATCCAAATTTCCAAAAATAAATAATTGTCTACGCCGTGCGAAGCCGGGACGGGCTTCTAGTTGATAATAAACCAAAAATTAAAAAACTTGATTTATTTCCTTATAAATTACAACAGAGAACAATATCTTATCAATACGACAACAAAGACAAAAACACGTGACACAAGTAATTATAATTTAACTGCAGACTAGCTGATATCGATTAGATTAACTGTTGCTAATCACATACATGGTACATTTGCCAAAATACCATCAACTTTATAGTACATTAAGGTACATTATTGCACAGCAATCTAGTTTCTATTACAACCTTCTAGCTTTAATTAGCCTTTGGTCTAAAGTAGCGAAAGTGACTAGTTCCCAAACTCTTAACTTTTGAATTCCTATTTCTTCTCTTTAGGTAAAAAAATCATTTCTTCTTGTACAATGACAGGAGTCCCCTTCGTTCCCTTCATCCATTCGGCAATTTCTTGCAATGTCATGTCTTTAGTTTCAGGTAAAAATACGTAAATCAAAACCAAGAAGAATGACGTAGCTAGACCGAAGAATAAGAAAGCACCATGTGTACCCCAGGATTTGAATAAGAAAGGAGATATTTTAACTAAAGTACCTAATAATACTTTAGATGATAAATCCATACAACACGATGAAAGTCCACGAGCTTCTATAGAAACTAATTCACCAGATATTGTTTGTGTCAATATAACAGGTCCAAAACATAATCCTATTGAATATCCTATAAGCAAGAATATAGCAAAGTAATTGTTCTCTACTACTAATGACAACTTAATCAAGTATGCGTAACAGGATATTGATAAAAGAAAACCAATGCCTACTAATGATGAGCCGATTAACAGTTTCTTTCGTGGCAATACTTTAGCTACTAAACATCCAATATACATACATAGTACAGTGACACCGTCGAGAACCAACATAGCAGTATAAGGCGATATGTGGTGCCCAGCTGTAATTTTACTAATAATATCTATAGCATACACACTAAATACTACTTTACCAGAGAATATATAAAGAGAATGCACAATCAGACACAAAACCAAGGGCTTGTAAAACTGTCTTTTAGATATTATCTTCAAGTACCCGATAATGTATCCTTTCAAGCTGAACTTGTTCTGCTGTGCTTCTAAATTGAGATTCTTTTGGTAGTTAATTAATTTTTCTAAGTCTGTTTCTGCTTGCTTACCGAATCCCATCATCCATCTATGTGTGTCGGCAGCCCTTTCGAAACGCTGTTTCGTTGCCAACCAAAATGGTGATTCAGGAAGTACAATTGCTATCAACAGGCCGTAAGCACTGCAGATGATACCAGCTAGACCAATGTTCCTCCAATGGAAGAATGTCCCAATGGCATTAGACATTAAAATACCCCAGAAGAGAGTAGCAGATTTCACAGTCAAGAAAAATCCTCTATGCTTGGGTGAGGTGTACTCAGTGATAATCATGACTGACACAGTGAAGTGAGATCCTGTATTGATCCCATTAATCACTTGGCTGATGATGATCTGATTGACTGTGACACTGAAGTAAAACACGATGAAACTTATCAAGTTGCTGACTGAGACGAACATGAAGGTGTATTTTCGTCCGATGTACTTCATGAAGATTGGTAAGATGCACGTCCAAGGTAAGCCGGAGTAGACCATAATGGCAGCTGAAACAGAAATTTAACACTATTAGTTCCTTATTAACTTTAGATTTAAATTGAAAGATGTGTTCCAACATGGTGAACATAAATATTTTTAAGCCTGTCCATCCAATTTTCCATTGTAAACAAACAACGACTGCTGGTTTTGTGACAAATTGATGTTATATTGTTATTGCTAACAATAATCTCGATAAAGTAACAAATTACCATTATTCGATTTGTCGTCATATCACACTTAGTGACCAACAAAGCCTCTTATCCTTTTAGACTGACATCTCCAACTCACTTGCTAAGTGTGGAGCTTCTGGCAAAACCTTCGTATGTAGACGCCATAGTATAACAGTCTGTTGTCATCAGCTCTTCTGATGAAGACGATGAAGAATAGAGAACTGTACGCAAAGCATTACGATAACTAATGCAATTATTTTGTAACTTACGTATCCAAGAAGCAGTAGATTCACTGATAGCATCATCGGAGTTGGCCTCCTTCCTGATCTGTGGGATGAAGACTGTGGAAGCGCCGAAGGACATGCCCATGATGAAGTAGCAGGTCCAACCTCCACTGCTGATTGTCATCTGGGAGATTATCGTAGAAGAAGGTTAGAAGATGTCTTTTGATGACCGTAGGAAGTCTAGAAACTTGTGAGTAATATTTTCGATTTCGTTTTGGTATCAAGTGACTTAATCTGTTTATTACCTCTATAAATAGGTACTTAAATCAACTATTGGTTTCTATTTTATTTAATACTTTTTTATTTTAGTGACTGTCTGTTTGACTATATGTACTGAATTAAATTATTTACTATTATAACTGCCTCGTTAGCCGAGTGGTCGCAAGTACGACTGCCGGGTAAAGTGTCTCGGGTTCGATTCCCGGGTCGGGCAAAGTATTGCTGTTTTTTTTTTAATTCTCAGTAGTAACACAAAGTCTGGAAATGTGCCCGGTATACCCCCTATTACATGGAACTCATAACACAAAATAGAGATTAGTTGGTGTTACATTCAACAGTGGCATTAAGTGCCGTAATGTGCACATCTGCCTACCCTTAATAGGCGTGATGTTATGTTAATTATTCTAAATACTCTATATAAGAGGGCCAAAATATTTTAACTGATCAAATCTATTGGTAACTACATATATTTTGCTCTGCTCACGGCTTCGGGGAATAACGGGGTTTATCCTTACTAATATTATAAATCGGAAAGTGAGTTTGTTTGTTTGTTTGTTTGTTCCGACTTCACGCCGTAACTACTAAACCGATTGCATTCAATTTTTGCAGGCGTAAAGTTAGTAGTCTGGATTAAATAATAGGGTACTTTTTATCCCTAAAAAATTTGATATTCCCGAGGGAAAACAAAAGTATTGGTATAGATGGCGCTGTGTGTATTGGTATATGTCACATAGGCTACTTTTTATCCTTTTGTGACGCGAGCGAAGCCGCGGGTAAAAGCTAGTGATATTATAAGTTTTAACAAAGTTATTGGAATCTCAAAGATTACATTAATCTATTAATTCCTTTGGTTAATCCATTACCATAGCGATATATTTATTTGTGGCAAGTATAGTATTGTTATAAGCCTGATAGTTATCATTGAAAGATAAAGTGACTCCACCAGGTTTGGTCATATCTAAATCATTTCAGACGGTTGGTCGATGATTTTAATACCTTTAGATTTTATTGTAACAATTAGATTGATCTCTTAAAGGGGAGCTAAGTCCTTAAGTCTGGGTGAGCCATGCTTCGGCACGAATAGGTATCTTTGACCGGAGTGATAAAATGCCTGAGTTGTGTTTCGCTCTGTGAGTGACCGGCGTCTAAAGCCTAAATCTATATTATACTCACTATTCCTGAAATCTCTAACACTCAGAAGTCCGGCAGCGGACTTGTTACTCATCTGGATTTTTTTAACGCAAACTAGTTTATATTTAAAAACCTGTGCCCCTCTCTAAATTTTTCTCCTGTGTCGTGGGTTTACAAACATGCAATTTCACATACACCTGACATATTCATTTGACCAGACCCGAAATATTCATTTGTTTCTTTATGATTTTAAACTAATAGCTCGCCTGTATTTTATCAAGTTTAAACAATCATTTATATAACGTACTTACTTATTAGAAGCAGGAAAATTTGTGAATTAAATCTTAAGTGCTAAGTATTTCTAATTAGAGATAAGGCTGCTAAATAAATATTTTGCCTTGTAATAATCTAGACAATCCATAGATTTCTACACATTTTATCGACGTCACAAACTAATTAGAACAATCTTTGAATGTGTTTGTTAACGGAATACGCAAGGCTTCTAATGAAAGCAAAAATGTACAGACGGCATACAGAAATAATAGAATAAATAAAGATACTGCCATAATTTAAATGCTAATTCTTTTCTTTGATAAAATAAAACCGAAAGCGTGAGTGAGGTTAGTGGAGGCCCATACCCGAAATCGCCGCGGAGAACCTAACGGGTTACCGGGGCTCCAGCTCAAAGTGCATGAATAGGAACGGGGTAGTTTTAAGTCATTAAGAGTCTGACACTCCCACCCGCCTCACGCAGGCGGGAGAAGTAATTCGATGATTTTCCCCAATAAAAAAAAAACACCTGAATCCACAATAAGCCTCAAATTCCTAATCCCCAAAAGGCCGGTAACGCACTTGTAACAAACACTTCGGATGTTTCGGGTGACCATGGGCAACACCGATTAGGTACTTTATCACCATCTGATCGTTTACCTACCGGATAATTCCATAAAAAAATCAAAGATTATTATCCGAAATCTTAAAAGTCACAATGTAGAAGTCATCAAATTTTTTAATTACATATTTGTGTATTTAACTTGCGATATTATCTAGCAGACATAATGCACCATTTCTTAGCCAATACGTGCTGACTGCTGACAGATCATGAGATTAGATAGTAGTCACTGATGGCGCCAATTTGCGCCAAAAAAATAACTAGCGCCATCTATTAATCAGAAATAAGAAGGTTTTTTTTAAGGAGGGAAAATCATCGAATGACTGCTCATGGCCCGGATGAGGCGGGAGGGAGTGTCAGACTCTAACTGACTAAAAACCACCCTGTTCCTTCTCCTGCATGTCGAGCCGAAGCCCCGGTAACCCGTTGGGTTCCTTGTAGGTGCATTCTATTATATTAAGATTTTTTAAGGACCAAGCAAATAAAAGTTGTTACTATTATAAAAATGAAACACGCAAAATGAATTTCAAATTAACTTGACCCCCGTTCGATCTATTCTAATAGTTACTAATAGGTACCTAATACAATATGAATACGGTTTAAGATTTTGTTTGATTGATGTTTATGTTTATACCACTTTTTAAGGGTTGACTGCACGGTTGGTGCGGTGGCTGGGCAACCGGCTGCCGTGCAACGTGTCGCGGGTTCGATTCCCAAAAAAACCCTTTGTGTGATCCACAAATTGTTTGTTTCGGGTCTGGGTGTCATGTGTATGTGAACTTGTATGTTTGTAAACGCACCCACGACACAGGAGATAATCCTAGTGTGGGGCAACGTTTAAAGAAAAAAAAAGGGGGGGGGGGCGAAAACTATCCAATGTCTCTTCTCGTCTTGAGTGAGGCTAGTGATAGTATCAGACTCTTACTGACTAAAAAGTACCCCCTACTCCTGCTCCTCGAGCCCAACACCAGCAGAAAGTTAATTTTTATATTGTGTTCTAAATACATACATACATAACCTCACGCCTGTCTCCCATGGGGTAAGCAGAGACTATGTAACACCAACTGCTACTATTCTAAATAAAAATCGAAATTATCAATGCATAAATATGTCATTTGAAAAGACAAGTGCCAACAAGTTGTATACTTGATTTTTTGATACGAAAACAGCTCGATGGATGTCGATAAATAGCAAATAGAAAGGCCATGACATAAAATAACACAGACACAACGAAGTTTGTGAGATTTTATCAACAATGATATAAGTAGATACAGTGGTCAACGTAATTGCTTAGTGTTAAACAACCTTTCTTATGTTATAATATAATAAGTACTAGCTGTTGCCCGCGACTTCGTCCGCGTAGATTAATGACTTCTGACAGAATTAATCAGAATCAATTCAGTGCTCGAGTAAGATTTACCTATTTTGAAATGATTTATCGTAGTTTCAATAAATAAATAATCCCGCAGGGATCTTACCAGTACAGTGCCCAATCACGTAAGGTTTGGGTAATAAAAACTATTCTATCGACTATTGTTGTACCGAATCTCTCTAAAATAAGTTCAGTGGTTAAGAGTTAGAGAGCCCTGGGGCATTGACGCATAGTTCCCGTTCCCGTGGGACATCTGTGATAAATACTATCAAACGTTACCCAGGTCCCAAATCATCGTTTTACCGAATGTAATTCTAAAAGATTCAATGATTCTACATTCAATGGCTAAGAAGATTTATACAAACTCTAATTCCCTATTTTATCCCTTTAGGCCTTTAGGGGTGGAATTTATCATATCCTTTAGATATATCCTAAGTAGATACCTATGTCATAGTAACTTTATGCATGCAAAGTCTTAGCCCAATCGGTTTAAAACTGGCAAAGTATCATACAAACTTTCACCCCCTATTTTACCCACCTTGGGGTGAGTATGTTCAAAAACCTTTCTAAAGGGACGTTTACGTCATAATATCCATCTGCACGCCGAATTTCAACCCGATCGGTGTAAAACTGACAAAGCTTCATACAAACGTTCATCCCCTACATTACCACATTGGAGGTGGAAATGATCATAAATCCTTACTTGGGGATGCCTACGTCATAACGTCTTCCTGCATGTCAAATTTCAATCCGATCGATTTAAAACTGACAAAGTCCCATACAAACTTTCATCCCCTATTTTACTCCCTTGGGGGTGGAAATTATCAAAATCCTTTCAAAGCGGATGCTTACGTCATAACATCTATCTGCATGCCAAATTTCAACCTGATCGGTTTAAAACTGACAAAGGCTCATATAAACTTTCATCCCCTATTTTACCCACTTGGGGGTGGAAATTATCAAAATCCTTTCACAGCAGATACCTACGTCATAAACATCTATCTGCATGCCAAATTTCAACCCGATCGATTTAAAACTGACAATGTCTCATACAAACTTTCATCCCCTATTTTACCCACTTGGGGGTGGAAATTATCAAAATCCTTTCACAGCGGATGCCTACGTCATAACATCTATCTGCATGCCAAATTTCAACCCGATCGATTTAAAACTGACAATGTCTCATACAAACTTTCATCCCCTATTTTACCCCCTTGGGGGTGGAAATTATCAAAATCCTTTCAAAGTGGATGCTTACGTTATAACATCTATCTGCATGCCAAATTTCAACCCGATCGGTTTAAAACTGACAAAGTCTCATACAAACTTTCATCCCCTATTTTACCCCCATTGGGGGTGGAAATTATCAAAATCCTTTCACATCGGATGCTTACGTCATAACATCTATCTGCATGCCAAATTACAACCCGATCGGTTTAAAACTGACAAAGTCTCATACAAACTTTCATCCCCTATTTTACCCCCATTGGGGGTGGAAATTATCAAAATC